TTATTATTATTATTATTATTATTATTATTATTATTATTATTATTATTATTATTATTATTATTATTATTATTATCATTCGTTATTATTGCATTCATATTTCTACGAAAGAATTGAAAATCAAAAGGTGTTCCTTCTAATAAATTATCTGTCTCCGTAGCATTGGTTGAAATATTAGTATTGTATAGATCAAATCCAAATTCTTCACTATCAAATGTATTAGAATTTGATCCAAAGTAATATGAAAGCACAGTCTCAGGTGAATTTGGAGGTATTTGTGTTGTTTGTGTTTGTCGAGATCCTGAAGAGGAGGAGGAAATTTCTTCTTCTTCCATAATTTTATTATAAATCTTTAAATCTCAATAAAAATATAAAATGTTTCTCCATTTATAACATAAAAAAGTGATCTCTTAGGTAACATCAAAAAAAAAAAACGAACATTCCATTATGTAATATTATGGTTATACAAAAATCAATTCACCCTATGTCCAAAGAAATTTTAAATTGCTATGTCCTCAAAAATAACTTAATAAAGAAGACAATGTAAACACCGCTTAAAGTAATTTATTGCCATCTGAATAAATGTTTGCTTTGCTTGTATTCACTTAAAATTTTGTTCCTGTTAAAGCCATAAATTTCTATTTTTATAATGTAACGAAAAACTGTACATTTAGTAATATTCGATCATGTGCATATTTAAACATAAATATTTACCCATAGAAATTTTCACCCCCACATGATATTTTGATTTTTTTGAATTTGATTGGTCCATAATTCGGCGGGTGATCAGAAATTTTTCACGTGTTGCTTTTACAGGATGATGAATTTTCGGTGACGAATATGTTTTCTGTAAGTAAAAAAATTCTCTGTCCACAGAATACTGTATTTAATGAAAATTGATATTCGTAGGGTGTGACACACGATGATAAATACACTACCCATGATAAACCCTAACCTTAACCCATGAATTTAGCACGTGGGGGTGAAATTTCTATGGCGATACCTGGGTAAGATAACATAAATAAGAAAATCAATTATTATAATTATATATTAATTTCAACAATTCTTTCCTTATGATAAATCTCGTTGAGAGAATTTTACAAAAAATATAAACCCACTCTTAGTTAGTCCTCTCTTATGTTAAAAATATATATATATAATTTTTGGGAGTATCACAGGTTGACCCAATATTATTTTTGCTACTGGGTCTCAGAGGTTATCTCACCCTTACAATCAACCAGTAACAACCAGTAACAACCAGTTACAACCAGTTACAACCAGTATGACTGTTTGATTTCTACTAAATTTTTCAGTCCATTATCATCACTCTTCATAACATTTAGATAAAAATAATAAAATTATTCTTAAATATAAATAAAAACCGTTTACAATACAATTTGTTAACAAATTTAGTGACACATCTTGTGAAAAAGTTGTTTAATAGGGCCAGAAGAAAATGTGCAATATAATTTTCAAATTTTCATATGTCAATTGGGTAAATTGGCATAATGAAGAAGCACATATTGTATATGCTGAATAAAAGGAAACTACGTAGAGACAGACGTGTGATGGCAGTATATTTTTAAGAATCTGCTAAATATTTTTTGTTCTATTTAAAAAATATACATTAATATTATATTATTATATATTATTAATATTCTTTAGTTGAAGTTGAGCATTTAATTACTCTTTTATCTTTTCTTTTTCATTTATTTTCACACAGTAACGAATAAATCATAATGACCTAGGTCAAGTCCAAGTCTCTATGTACATGTATCATACTTATTTGTTTTAAAAAACTTTACTCCAGAATTCTTATGCATTGTCTCCAAATGTTATTTTGTCAATACAATATCAAATACTATTAGAAATTGGGCAAATGTTAATTAGAGACTGAGCAAATATTAAGAGACCGTGAATAATATTAGATGAATAGGCATATATCTTGTTACAAAAGAATTTTGGGGAACGATATCAAAAGTGTATAATTTTTATTTTATTATAAATAATTTCAATTTAATTAATTCCATTTGCAATTTTAACTTTTATTAAATAAAAATTAATATGCTTTTGTCAGGAATAAAGTTTTTAAAAATATATTTCAATCCAAATAAGAAGCGTTATTAACTTCAGGATGAAAGAGAGAGAATATCAAAAATTTAAAGTTGTTATTTTTTGCTTTAAGAAATCATAAATTTCTTTACTTCTAAAGGATCAATTTTAATTTTTTTTCTATATTTTCAAAGATAAAAGTATAAAAAATTTAGAATTTTTTTTTTTTGTAGTAAATGTCTTTTAATATTAAATATTATCTTGAGAAAAGAGTCAAGACTTTAACTAGACATTCTAATAAATAAAAAAAATTAATATTGTATTATAAAAATAAAAATATAACGTTATTTTGACAATTTACCCATAGGTCAAAATATTACCTATCTGGCACCTATCTGCATCTGCTTTCTGATTGGTATAGAATTTATGTGGAAGATTGGGGAAACTACAATATATATTAGATATCAAATAAGTGTAAAAACATACGTACTGAAACTCTCGAATAAAATATTTATTATAGGAAGAAATATGTAATAAAATCATTAGTAAATATCATTTCTAAATCTGTATACGATAAAAAGTTACTTTATACTTATAATTTTACATAACTTGTTACCTGCTTTAGAGTGATCATTACCACCACAAGTTGCATAAATTAAAAAGAAAAAGAAAATTAATAAAAAAGTTGAATTGTTATTTAATTTTTTGTTAATTATCCAATTATTAATTCATGTTGTCATTTAATTTTTATTATTATTTAATAAATACGTAATGATCACATGGGGAAATCTCGAATTCAGATTATTTAAATTAAAGTGTGAAATAAGTATAAATCTATACACATGTGTTCTGATAAATGTATATATATTCAATATGTACAGTAATAATATATAATGCAATGTATTCAAAAGTGATATCAATTTTAAGAATAAATGATTAATTAAAAAATTTACAATCGTTAAATTTTTTTTTTTTTGTTATCTTAATTAAGAAGAGAATTAAAATATTACTTTGCATAAATGAATGAATTAATATTTGCTATCATAAGTAATTAAGCAATTTGTAATTAATTTATAAGTAATGTGAAAATATTTATAAATTCATTGGTAATTCATAAATAATTCATAACCTTGATTCTTTCTTGTATCGTCACAAAAACTTTTGTCGATTGATCGACGTGATGGCCGATGTACTGGATGTACTATGTCACCTCAAAGGTAACTTAAAAAAAAACGAAAATTCTATAAACAAAGCTTAAATAGGTATCAAAAAAATGTGACAAAGACTTCTTACGCTCTTTATTCACGTGATCATGTTAGATGGTCAAGGCATATCTGATATTATTAACCAATCAAATCATTAGCTTTTCGCCCCAAGCCTTTTTTAATCAAACAATACCCTTTACCTTTATTTTTAAGATATTAAAAAATTATTCCCTCATCGAAAACTGATAGATAGATTAAATATATTTTTAACAAATTAGAATGAAAATATGCAAATAAGAAAAAAATAAAAATAGATAATAATAAATAAGAATAAATAATTACTTTCTATAATGAATCTTCTCTTTGTTCTATTTATTGACTTTGTTCAAGATAAAAGTCATATTTTATCATATTTTTATCACCACCATAACAGATAATAATAAAAATTATAATTAATTATAATAAAAAAAATTTATAATAAATAAATATGAGAAATATTATTCATGTAAAATAATGAAATTCATCTTTGAAAGGATTATTGATAAGAATTTTTTTTATCGTACTTTAAAAGATAATTAGAATTAACTTGGTGATATGACATGATTCGAACACAAACTTTTAATTGAACAGTTGAATTATCACCCATGAGAATTTTTTATTTCCATAAATGTGAATCAAAGACTTGGCTTTTTTTCTTTTTTTTTTATCTTGAAGGGATTAATATCGCCTCTTATAAACAAATATTGATCCCTGCATCCATTGAAAAAATAAAAATAATTCTATATATATGAATATTTCAATAGAATCTTGTATAATAGAATTCCGATACTTTCCGCTTTGAATCAGTTAAATCATTTAAGTTTAGTAAAAATATTTTATTATTATAATTAATCATTATTTTAATAAATATAATTATTTCAAATCTTAATAATAAATAATATCTATTACTCTATATACTGATGACCCCTTACATTATAACTTTAGTATCACAAAAAATTATCAGTACATAAAAGTATTGATTACGACGATTTTTTTTTTTTTTTTTTGGCGCGTGGAATACAAGAAAAACATCGAGAAAGTACAAAGATTTATAAGAAAGTGATATTTAAACATTAGAGATATAAAATAAATAAAAAAAAAATGTTAAAAAATAAAAGAGAACAAGGAAATAAAAATTTTCTTATAAAATACATGTGAAAAGGAGATTATCATATATAAAAACATAAAATATAAGAATCAAAAACATATAAATATATAAATATAAATATATATAAGAATATGAAATAACATGCATAAATAGACAATATGCATATCTGTATAATAAAATATACTGTATTACATTATATAAACTTAAATTGTATTATATTTTATCTAATATCTGCGTGTTTCTTGTCTTGTGTATTTACAAACAAAAAAATACCCTTAACCTTATGAATCCAATTGTTTTTTCGCCGAGATGCCCCAATTTTTTCCTTAAATGTTATTTCATTGTAAAGTTTCCCGCGAAAATTACAATTACAAGTAAAAGAACCAGTAGAATTTATTTTTCCATTAAAGTAAATATTTTTTTCAAAGAAAAAAAAAAAAGTTGAATTGAATAGAACAATAATTGAATTGAATATTAAATCTTACATATTTTATCAATGACTTATTATCCCTTATTCTTAATAACTTCTTATTATCTTCCTATTTATCCCATTTACTTTATTAACTTTTTGTATAAAATAATCACGTTTGTTCATATCTCATATTTATTAGAGCTCCCTTTTTCGCACACAAACGCACCAGACTTTTTCAACTTTTTTTTTCAACCTTTTTTTATCGATTTTCTTGCGGGCTCACCTTTTTATTAACCATTCTATTATCATTTCTCTAATTGTTTCTTTTCAACATTCTCACAAAAAAAAATATTTTCACAAAAAAAAAAATACAAAACTAAATATTTCACACAACACACACACACCACATATATACGCACCCTTACATTATTTACCTCCTAAATGATCTTTACCAACTTTTCACCACTTTATATTCTCTTTATATCCTCTTTATAGATAACTAAAATATCAAAAACATTAAGAAACATTGATCATTGATTATAAATCTCACGCGTACCTCCTAAACTAATCAATTAATCCTTCTTGATTTTTCTCCTTTTTGAAAATCGTACTTCGTTGTCCTTATAATCCTTCTTAATATCACTATTACTAAACCGCCACTAATATTATATATCTTCTTATCCACGTTCTATAATCAATCATCAATCCATTCTTCGCGTTTATAGAATTCTCTCTTGGGTAAGTTTATAATTCTGAATCGAGGTTATGAATTGGTAATATGTGCAAGAATTATTCCGAATTTATTCAATTTTAATCCGAATTTTTATCTAATTTATTCAAATTTATTTGAATTTAATTAATTTTAGAATTTTATTTAGATTGATATGGGATTATAAATTTTACTATAATTTTCAACAAGATCAAAAATTTTTTCCTAGAGATTTTTAATAATAATAATAATATAATACTGTAATCATAATGATCATTTAACGTTAATTTCAATAATTCTGGTAGAAATTGTAAAATAATTTCAAACAATTTCAATAATCTCAATAATTCATTTAACTGTAAATTAATCATCTTTACATATTCTATGAAAAATCTCATTTCTCATTTAATACATAATTTTTTTATATTCTAGTTACCAATAATATTTTAATCTCATTGTTTATCATCATTATTTTCTGTTTCGTTCATTTTTTTTATTTATTCATTTACCAAGTTATCATTATTAATATTAGTAATTCTAATAATAATAATAATAATACTAAAAATACTTTCAATAATAATATTCTAATAATAATAATCCACATTAGGAAACGCTATAATTGACTACACGAGGTCAATCTAGTTCAAAAATTGATACAATTCTAAAATTAACAATGGGTGAGTAACTTAAAATTATTTTATTAATTGTTATTATTTTTATTATTATTATTATAATTATTTTATTAATTAATTTAATAATTTTTCAATAATAATGATAATAATTGATTTCAATAATAAACGATAATTGTTAAAAATTTGTAGGATCTAAGACAAAAGTTATTCCTTCAACTCCATCTCTTCTTCCGCTTCCTCTTTCTCCACCACCTCCTTCTAAACATCCAATCATTCCTCCAATGTTAAATTGTTTAAATCATCGTGATTATCGTTTTAATCATTTTAATGCAATCACTCCTACTCCTACTATTACTTCATCCGATTCTACTTCCACTATTAAATATAATCATAATCATCATCTTTATTCACATAATTTTCCACCTTTTTCTTTCAATTCTATTAATTCTTTCAATTCTTCAGTTAATTCGGTTAATTCGGTTAATTCGTTTAATTCAATAAATTCTACTCATAATTCTTCGACCTCAATAAACTCAAATTTAACTTCACCGTTTACAAATTCTATAACTTCTAATATTATCAACACTCCTCAAAATAATTTAAACAATAATCACAACATTCGTAATATTCATCATAACAACTTTAATTTTCACGATATTCCCAATATTCACAATACTTTTCAATTATCCACTACACGTGATAATATTAATAATAACAACAATTGGGTTATGCAATTACAAGCATCAAATTCTTTACAATCACAACAATTCAACTATCACCATCACCATCAACATCACAATCAACAATTCTCTTTAATACCTGATTCTTTAGAATTGATGAAAAACAATGATAACAATAATAATGTCATTGATAACAACAATAATGTCGATAACAACAATAACCATAATATCAATAATATCAATAACAGCATCAATTACATCAACAATAATAATAATATCAATAATAATATAAACAACATTAATAATAATAATAATAATAATAATAATAATAATAATAATAATAATAATAATACATCATCAATATTGACACATTCCCAATATGCAAGTGATATGTTTATAGTTAATCCTAATATTGATAATAATAACAATAATAATAATAACAACAATAATAATAATCACAATCATAATAATAAATCAAATCAAAATCAATTTAATTCACAAATACATTCAAATATAAATAAAAATTATATTGTTCCTTCAATGTCACTCGCTCGTAATATCACATCAACATCAAATTATTCTAGACGTCCATCTCTCTCTCAAATTCCAACTGTTCATTCCATTCATCCCGTTCATTCTCCCTCTCCGTTTCAAATTGATATTTCCTCTTCTAAATATTCTAATTCCTCGTCATCACCAAATATTCCTTGTTCTTCATTATTTCCATCGAATTCTTTCTCAGCATTTTATTCTATTTCAAACACTCTTCCAAATTCTTTATCATCATTATCGACCTTGTCACCATCATCATCATCGTCATCGTCATCACCATCGTCATCGTCATCATCATCATCGTCATCATCATTATCATCATCAAATATCCGTAATAATCGACACAAATGTGAATGGACAGGATGTAACTGGAGCTTCAAACGATTAGAGCATTTGAAGCGTCATATGCTCACACACACTGGTGAAAGAAAATATGCATGTACTCATTCAGGATGTGGTAAAAAATTTGGAAGATCAGATAATTTCGCTGCTCATTTAAAAACTCATAATAAAAATACTGGATTGATGAATGGAAGGAATGAAGAGAATTGGAACAATATAAATAAAATAAATAAAATAAATAATACAAATAAAATAAATAAAATAAATAATATAAATAATATGAATAGTTTAAATAATATAAATAATTTAAATAATATAAATAATTTAAATAATTTAAATAATTTAAATAATTGTAATACTAGAAATTCCAGACAAGGAAATTCAGGACAATTAGATAATAATCGGAACTTTAATAATAGTCACATTAATAGATATGATGGTAGTCATTTCAATAATAATATTAGCAGAAAAGGTATTGACAATAATAATATTAACATTAATAATATTAATAGCATTAATAACATTAGTAATTATAATAATAATGATAATAATAATAATAACTCTAGTGGAATGCACAAATTAGAATTTGGAGTTGGAGATATTGAAATTGCAATGGGAATCCTGAATAATAATCATACTAATAGTGGTAATATTAGTAATGTTAAAAATGAAGGACATCATAATTATCGTCAAGTATTAAAATACGAATAAGGATAATAATCTTATTTTTCTCTTTATTTTATTATTTACTGTAGTTTATTCACATTTTATTTCATTTTTTTTTTAATTTTTCAAGTTCTAAACTTATCTCAACATCTCTAATTTCAACCACACTTTTGTATATTGAAAAATTGAATATTTTTTTATTAAAAATAATTTCGTTTATTTTCATTACGTAATCAAAAATTCACTATCATTTGTGAAAAAAAAAATATCATATATGTATATATATATTGTATATATTTATTTGCGATGTGGTTAATTATATAAATTTGTTACATGGTATAACGGTATAATATATGATAATGAAAAATTTTTAATTCACCTTGGCATCGTCATTACCTTTATCCTTGCTAATGAAACCTCTAATTAAATCAATTGAATAATTCGATTGATTTTCTTAAAAGTCTTATATTGGCGTTGCAATTTATTATTATTGATCTTTATTAATGATAATGCCCTTCAATTAACAAAATCACAATCAAAGACTTGAGAAACGATATGATTATATTTAAATAGTTTATTGAATTTGGTTTAAGGTTCTAAACCTTATCAATAAAATGAAGTAAATTATTTCGGTAGCAAGCAAACTGACATTTTGTACGACACCAATTTGCCGAACTCCTCCAGTGGCAATGGCTCGAATGACATCATAGGCGAATGTGAGTACAAAAAACCTGAGGCAAGTTTGTTTCTCCTCTGAATGATCTCGATATTGAGTACAGAGCGCACTATAAATAAATGTGTGAACTGGCGCGTTAAATGCGTTCCGATCATGCGATAAATCCTGGAGGATTTTGTAGGTACAAAAGCTTATCACGACAATGTGACGCATATTACAACAAGAAAAAGAAAGAACCAACAGTTGTAGTGAAATGTCAGTTGATAGGAAGCAAAAAGGTTAGAGGGTAAGAAAATAGGAGTAGCTGTATATTAATAAAAAAAAATAAGAGAAGTTTGTTATTACATCTCAATTAAACCTAGAAACGAAACTCTACGGAATACATAGCGTAGTACTTACCATACGAAAAATTCCACCTAAGCAATAGGAACCGAAGTCAGAAAAAAGTTAATTTCCTATCATTAACTATTTATTTAAATTAAATCATAGCATATTTAGGACCTTTTGCATACCAAGCACTAAAAATTTAATATCGCTCGCCGCTGTCTTCACGATGGACCATTTTTTCTGTAAGAATTTACACAACCGCGCAAACAACACGAGGAGTAATATGATGGCAAGCGCAATCGCTAATACAATGCTGAATTCAATAATTACGCAAAAAAAAAATAAATTGTAGTCTGGAATATTCATTATTCTCCCAGAAGTTGTAAATCCAGATGAGGGTGGATTTGACATATTACATATTGCTTTTCATATCTGGTTACCTGCAACATTAGATAAGATTCACTAAAACTGGGCGAATCAATTGTTTAACCAAATTTAGATATTAAATCCCAGTAACTATATTGAAGTTGAGTTAAAAAAAAAGCAGAGCGGTAGTTACAAAAAATTGAGCAGACGAAAGATATCATATACTGAAGGCGACCAACGGCTAATTTCTCAACGGTGGCTTCAAAGCTTGAATGTTCAAGTGTTCTTCCACAGTGACGGAGAGTACGAGAAATAATTCTTAATGTTCAATCACTTTCTTCGAAAATTTTTCTTTTTTGAATCGTCGTTGAATTTGACAAAACTTGTGATATATAGAATGATTATACAATTATAAGATAGAAATATTAATTAAAAACGAAAATTCTTGTCATGTTTGTTCTTAAATTTTTGTAAATTTAAAATGAAAAGAAGAGCGGATGAGATGGATCTTTTATAACTTCTATTTTCCGTTGTTATCATTATCAAGACTATGGATGAGAAATATTTATAATATAAAATAAATTATGGCCGATAACCGTCTCGCCTGGCACTTAGAATGTCATAAATCTTTTTTTAAAATACGTTATAAGCCTAGAATTTCCTGCGTATGATGTGTACGAAATTTCTTATGCCCATTATAATATATGAGGTGTTTTCCATCACCTAAATTCTACGTAGAATTTTCTATCATTTAAACATCGATATTATGAAACGAATTTTTGTATTAAATATACAAATTAAACAATAGGATTTTGAATTAGAAGCTATAATTTCATAGTCAAAAAATTCTTTGAATGGCAATTATTTCAAGTTAAAGATGTGGAGCCAAAGAAAATATTTCACACTTCGAAGCGAAGATATGTTGAGAATTATTGAACAAAGCAGATTTGATGCAGTATCATTATTATTAATGTTCTAACCCAAATATCGTGACGAAAGTGTACTTCTTATATAAAATTCTTTTCGAAATTGTAAAAAGAGACTGGAATGCGGTGAGAAATGTGAACAGAATCATAAGGTGAAATATTGATTTTCGCGAAATGACACAAAAATCAGTTATTATTATATTATACTGTATATGGAAAATCTAAAATTTAAATTATACCATTTTGTAGAAACAATGAAATTTTGTCTGTGGAACCGAATTTCCTTGGAAATTTATCTCTAAACAAATAAATTTATATTTAAATAAATATATTGATATAACAAAACTTCTTTCCAAAATTCCTTCAAAGAAAAAGTTAATTGATAGTGTACTGTACAAAATCGAAATAATAAATTTTATCAATTATTCACATCTTGAGCAGTAAATAATAATAAAATAAATAATTAATCAATGGCAGGTGAGTTATTGGACTTTATGATACCTTTGATTTGATGATAATAATGATAATATAATATCATCTTGACAATCAATCAATTAATTACTTATAATTTGTAAAGATTTAAATATTTAATTAGTTATCTAGAAAAGGATATTGTCTTTTATTTTTTATTTATTTAAAAAGATCATTTTTTATTACATGTTTTTTGAGGTACATATTTATTCATAATGATTAATCAGATTATTTAGTTTAATTTAACTTCGTGATAATTAAATATGCAATGCTGGAATTGAATTTTTTGGAAATAAATATCTATTAATAAACAAGCTTCAAAACAATTTTTCATTATTTAATTTACATGTTCGTTATATAATTTTTATTAATTTGATATTTGTAATTTTTTTCATTTTAATTATCTCCGGGGTGAACTCTTTTTGTTTTTTGTTTTTATGGAGTATAACTTTTAGGGTATTGCTAAAGCTCACTGGTGGTGATTGTCACCGCCGGGCAAAATTACATAATTCCTAACCCTAACTTTGCCAACGTAAATTTAATTTTGCCCAGTGGCAACAATCACCACCGGTGAGCTTTCTAACTTTTATTTAAATATTAAAATTTTAGAAATGCATTCTGCAGATTCTTGGCTACATAATAATTCACTTTAATTTATCATTCAATTTTTAAACATAACAAATTTAAAAATTTAAAAATTTAGAAAATTTTTATAGTGATATATTATTGCAAAATATCCTAATATTATTTTTTTTTGGATTCAATAACGATAAGATAATTTTCTACACTCCCCTAGCAAAAGTATTTGTGGAATGATAAAATTCGAAAATAATTGCTAAAATTAAAATGCCAATTGTGGCACAATGAGTGATCTAAATTGTACAACCTTTTTTTATTGGATTCCCCTAAACTAGGGCTATAATATGATATTTGATGATAATGGAACATCTATGCATAGAGATATCACGCTTCAAGTTAAACTGATAAAAATAATAAATTTATTCGATGGGTAGTAAAGATAAATGCCAACTATTTTTAGATGAAATTGTAACCAAAAATAATATCTACAACTTTAATTATTGACGTTTTTCTCAGTACCTAATAAAAGTTTTGACATCAATTAGACGTGAATAAAAACAACTGAAATTTAAAAAAATTTTAAAAAAATTCGAAAATAATTATATCGATCGTCTATACCTGAAAAACTTGATTATTTATTGACTTAATGATAAATGTGGTATTAAGTCACCTTAAAGCCTGAAATATGTAGCATCTTTTGTAAAAATTTCATCCTCATATATTGAGAATTGAGAGAACAATACACGATTAAACTTTAGAGTATAATTTTGAAATGTCCGATATTCAACTGTTAATATTAAACTCAATTCTCAATTTAAAAATCTGAAATTTTCACAGTAGATACTCCACATTTTAAAATTTAACTGTAATTAGTACCATTTTTATTGTTATATTAATAGATAAAGAAGTTTTTATATGGTTCCGATTGGTAATTATTTTTCAGATTTTTTTTTTTTGATTTTTTAAAAATGATCGACATGGATTTAAAAAATTCGAAAAATTTCTTTAAAATCCAAACGATCGTTATATTTTAAAAAATTTTAAAACTTTACAACAGATGTAAATCCGTGTCGATCATTTTTAAAAATTAAAAAAAAAAAAAATCTGAAAAATAATTACCAATCGGAACCATATATTAAAACCTCTTTATCTATTAATATAACAATAAAAATGGTACTAATTACAGTTAAAGTTTAAAATATGGAGTGAAAGTTTCAGATTTTTAAATTGAGAATTGAGTTTAATATTAACGGTTGAATATCGGACATTTCAAAATTATATTCTAAAGTTTAATCGTGTATTGTTCTCTCAATTCTCAATATATAAGGATGAATTTTTACGAAAGATGCTACATATTTCAGGCTTTAAGGTGACTTAATACCACATTTATTGTTAAGTTAATAAATAATCATGTTTTTCAGGTATAAACGATCGATTTAATTATTTTCGAATTTTTTTTTTTATTTTTTAAAATTTTTTTTTAAATTTCGGTCATTTTTATTCACGTCTAAGTGAAGTCAAAATTTTTAGCAGGTATCGAGAAAAACATCAATAATTAAAGTTGTAGATATTATTTCTGGTTACAATTTCATATAAAATAGTTGGCATCTATATTTAATACCCATCG